TCTCTTTAATTCTGATCTAAAAGGAAAGCTAGGCTGAGTGCAATGATATATCCAGTGTAGTGCATGTGATTGAAGGAGAGTGTTCATTGACTGATATTGAACTGTTAGAAACTGTAGTTGAGGAATTTGAAGTCCTTGAAGCCAAAAGATACATTCAACAATATAAAACATCACTGGAAAAATCGTGTCACTCACTGTCAGTTGATTTTTGCTTGAAGGAGAAGTTTGATGCTGTCAATACAAGCCCTTCTCTTAAATGTGAAACAGCAACTTATGTCTTTGACTGGAGACCTGACGAGAAGAAATTAAAAGATATTATTGATATTTTATCCAAGACATCCGGTAAACTAGTGAAAATAAAATACATCAAAGAAGGAAACTCCATCACCATCACTTGCTCCTTCCCTCGCTCTCTCACCGGAGCTCTCATTATAAAATTGAGCGAGAATCTTGAATTATTAATAAAGAATGGTCTGATGAAACTTACTGTTGGATACTGCACAATATGGATGAAACAAAAGATACAAGTATGTGTATATATACTGTCAGTAATTATCATTATATACTGTATTATAAAGGAAATACAGGAACCACTGGAAGAGGAGGTACAGGAGATAAAGGAACAACCTCATGATACAAAGGTATAATAATTTGTGTGTGGTTATTTTATTAAACTAACTTAATAGGAAGAGAGAGTAGCAAGACTGGAGGAGAAAGAAACAGAAGAAGCAGCACCTCAATCAGTAATTAATCAAGGTATAATGATACATTAATGTAATGGTTGTTGACCAGTATTATTAATTGATGAATGATTATTATATTTCAGATATACTATCAACTGATACAAGTGTGACAATGATTAATAGACAATTAATAAAAGAAATAAAATTAAACAAACAATTAGAAGAAACACTAACAAGTAAGTATAAAAGAATTTTATTAATTATAATTGAAATAATTTAGAAATGAGAGTAAAGGAATTTCAAAAACTTCTGTCTTTACCAGGAAATACTAGTTCAGGTTGAAAATATTGATATTATTACTGATTGTTATTATTATTGTTTATAATAATAATAATAATAATATTATTATTATTATTATTTTATCTGTTTATAGCATCATACAGAATCAGAAGAGGGATGAGAATGGAAACTGAACAATTGCAATTATTATTAACAAATAAAACTGGTACTGAATCATAATGTATGTGTTAGTGTATTATAATTATACTATGATAGGTTTACTGGATCAGAATGAATCATTAATAGATATTAAGAGAGAAATAGCTGAACTACAAGAACAGATATCAGTAATGAGTGTACATATACTAAATAAAAGAAAAGAGAATGAAAAATATAGAGATGTAATAAGAGGTACACTATAGTTTATATTTATTGGTAATTATTATTTATTAATCAGAGTGGAGGGAACGACTTACATTGACTTCATCAGCTGCAAAAGAAATTGAGACTGCTGAATCAACAGATAAAGATGATGATAAAGGTGTGTCATTATTATTTTCATTAACTGATTGATATATTGTATTACTGGTATATAGTGAATAAAAAATCTGTTTTTATTGCTCGTTATGACTATCATGCAATGAAGAGTAACGAATTATCATTCAGTGAGGGAGAGCAGCTGGAGATATATGAGAAGCAGAATAGTTTATGGTGGAAAGGAAGATCCTTGGTGTCTGGTGATGAGGGAGACATTCCTAGTAGTTGTGTTTACTCAATGTTGGAGTCACTTCAATTGTTAGAGTTTATACTGTCAGTGGAAGATATGTCCCTACCTATTCTACAGAAGACTATGATAAGGAATAATTCATCTAGTAATGATGAGAAAGCTTCTCTTTTCTTGGAGACTATTAATGATGATCCTATAATGATACCTGCACTGAGACAAGATAAGGAACTACATGATAAAGGTAACATTTGTGCATACTTAGGGATTGTGTATAAAATTAATTCACTAATTTTACTTCAACTTTTACTCTGTACATACATGTACTTCATACATTTATAACAAGCACACACATTCACATAATACAGTCAGTCAGTGACAACTACTAGCTGTGTCTGTTTTTGTTTATGCAAGTTGTGTGTGTTTGTATGATGTGAATATGTGTATTATTATGTACATACAATATAAGTATAATCCTTTGGTTTATATTAGGGGACACTGGATTTTTGGACTGGGGCATTGTGAGTGTATACCTTGAGTCTCCATCTCCAGTTCAGTGTAATGAAGTAATTAGTAATGTTAATAATAATCATGAGGAGATTCACCTCCGCTCTTCATCTACTAATAGTACAGTATCTTTACTATCATCAACTAAACTGCATACACTAAACCTGAGGAGACTTGAGATATGGGGCACTCCATTAACTAATGATTGTATCCAGTACTTGTGTATACTACTAACTAATAATAAAGCAATGCAAGAACTAGACATCAGGTTCCACTCCATTAGTGATAGAGGAGTTACTAATATCTGTCAAGCACTTGAACACAACTCTACACTTACCTCATTAAATCTTTCTGATAATCCTCTCATCACTTCTACTAGTGGACTGGCTCTTTTTGAGCTTCTCCTCAATAACTCATCACTAGTTGAACTGAATCTAAGGAATACTTCATTGTCTACTGAGTCAATACTACTCATCCTCCAGTCACTAATGGATAATGAGAAGATAAAGACACTCATACTAGACAAGCGATACAAAGAGATTTTTATTAATATGTATCCCAACTATCACCTCATACAAAACAGAGTGTACTGGAGGTAACTAATCACTCTTCATGTGAACTTATTAGTAATCTCTTGATATAACAACGTCAGTTTATCTTGACCAAGAAAGCAACCAATCAGAATACACTACTTTACATGATAAAAGGTGGACCAGTGACACATTATATTATCATAAATCTAACACATGAACATCTCTTGATCTCTCATCAATCTCTCTCTCCTTCTCCAGTATATACTGTACATTCCTTCTCTTACTGACACACACTCATGTCACTGTCTCTCTCTTTGTTGTCATCATTTCTTTCTATTTCCCTCTCCTTTATTTCTATCTCTCCCTCAGTCTTTAATAACTTTTCTCTAGCTGACCTTCCAAGTCAGTAGTCTTGTTTCCATTCTCTATATATTTCTCTCAAAAAGGAGCAGATAAAAAGAAAGAAAAAGACCAAAAAAAAACAAGGCAAAATAATTATAATAATAATAATAAATAAATATTTTTAATAAAATTGTTTACAAAAGAGATGATAAAAATATTTAAATATGTCTGCACAGTTCAACCAGTACACCAGAATTCTGAGAATGACCAGCTGGAGAGAGAGAGGAAATGACAAATTACCGTCTATCTGGAAATTTTTACTGTGATTTAAATTTTACTGGATTAGAATTTCGCAAAAATTAGATCATCCATATAATTACATGCCATGCACATTCAATAATACATGACACAGTCTTATTTAGTAAAAATTAAGTCACAGCACAATTTTAAACAGCAAAAATTTTCTACCAAACTAATTTCCTGATCTACGGTATATACATGTATATACACACATACCATATAAGGATGTACAATATTATCAATATATTGATCATCAAGAGGACATATTGTTATACTGATAGTATTAATTATTGTATCAGCAATACTGAATATTAATTATTCACAACACAAAGCATTACTTTACAACAAGAACCCTAATAACCTGTCAATTTTCCTTGTTTTCTATTATACCGAATTTCCTTAAATTCTATCCAAAAAAATTATACTCAAAAAAATTTTAATCGGAATCAGCTTAAACTTTCTACAAAGGATGAGGACATCAATATGTATCAGAAAATGTAATGAAAATTTGGGGTGATTTCGAAGCCATTTTTCAGAATAAAACATGGCTATCTATATGGTATTTAGTGATTGACAATTTGCAAGTAAAATTGCCAAGTAATGCACTAGTACACAATATAAAAACTGCCAATTACATTTTACAGTAGGAATGAATATGTATACCCTTATAATTGTGGTTAATTAACTGAAATCAATTAATAAAAGGTGTGGTTGGATGTGGCTAGTAATAGTATTGTGATCAAGTAGAAAAAAATTAGTTAAAAAATAATTATAAATCATGCAATGTTGCCCACCACCACTGAGGTTGGCGTACAAAAATTGGTAACAACAATCACTAGATCCAGTCAAGTTCCTTAACCATATCTAGCACAGCAACAAAAACAGCAGCTACTGAAGCCACTACTTCTGCTGAGAGTGATGATATCACTTTACAGTACTCCAGTATCATAGCAACTATTATTACACAATTAATTAATATTTCTATTATTCCGATCATTCTTAACTAGACTGGCACAAGTCAGCTTCCTTTTAACCTGTGCTAAATGAAAAGGCTATTGTGGGTCCAACTTTAAATTATCAATGGACACATATGTACATGTACTATCAAAATACTACATATCAGTTACCATAGTAACACAAAAATGATTAAATTATAATTATAAATGTTCTTTACTTTTCTCCACAATGCTTCTGCT